TTTTTTTTTTGTAAATAGCGCTCTGAGCGGTTCTTCGAAACAAAACAACGTAAAATAACACAACGTGTGACCACCACCACACCACAAATACTTCTCACATTACCACTATATGGTACTAGCGACTAGTGACGATGGCTGCAACTGCAACTGCATGCCTCCATTCAGTTCCATACAATGATGTTAAATGTGAGGCGAGCAAAATGTCAACAGCACTGCATTCAGCAAATAATTTCATGCAGCCAACAAGCATTCACAAACATACGTCATCATGCACACAACTTGCAATCAAAACAAAAAGACAAATCCAGCTTGACTGACTTTTTGATGGACTGAATGACATTCACAACAACCAGCACTACTACTACTACTACTGGTACCGCTCGCTGGAAACACCAGCACTCACTTCTCTCACTACTTCACTGGCACCCCAAATTGTTTGGCGATCTCTACTACCACCTCTCCGTTTAGAAAGGCAGTGCAAGACACAATCACGATCGCGTCAACAAGATATACGAACGACCAACCAATGTTGTTGTTGTTTAAACTTTTGTTTTTGTTTTGTCGCTATTCCTTGATTGTTTTTCAATGGCCAAACCGCAACATTTGTTTCGTTATTTGCATTTGCTGCTGACTATCGCCCGACAAAATACCGTCAAACACAACCGTCTCTTAGCCAAGTCTGTTTAAAACTGAATATCATGATCGTGGCCAAAGAAATGTTTGGTAGCTGCTATCCGAAAAAACGAAGCAAAATGTCTTTTGCTCTCCCAAACAACACAAAAGTCAAGCAACACACGCACACAAACACAAAGCCTGATTTTCTTCTCTCAAGCTTAAAGACGAGATGTAAACAACTGGTCTTGCTCTCTTACCTTTACTTTTTTTGGAGTATCTCACAATGTGATATTGGCCAAAGATAGTCATGGTTTAGATAAATTTGTGGTTGTTGTCTTGAATAAAGTGACTTCAAAATGCTTATCTTCAGCATGGACTTGGCGAACGTCTTGAGCTTATAAAAGTTGGTTATCTGAGCATCAGATTTGTAAAAAATGTATTTTTTAAAGAATAAATATCAATATTAAATTTCTAAACTAACGATTTTTTTAGGAATAATGCTGAGTTAAGAGCTGTATGAAACTCAACTTCATACTATATTTAATTTTGATTTTATATGGATTCAAAATTGAATATGCGAATATTTGTTGGTTTAAAAAAATAATAAAACTATTTCAAAAATTAAAAAAAAAATAATAATAATTGTAATACTTTAATGCGTAAACAAACAAATAGCTCGGTGTACAAACGCGTGAACATGACAGGAATAGCTGACCACGAGAAAAGCAGGAACATGCCAAATTTAGTCCGCATACACGAAGGGTTTGTCCTTCGGATTTATTAATTTCATAGCAAATGCCAAGCTGGCAGGAAACTGCAATCTTTTGAAGTTGAATGACATTTCTGTTGCTATCAGAGAATTCGAGGTAGCAACATACTTCCCCGTAATATTCGCAGCCTCAATTAAATTGTTGTACCAATACCATTGCAAAGGCGTTGTGGATTAATGCTTCTTAATAAAATCATATCCCAATCTGAATCGATTCCAATATATTCCATCACACCTTCCATATTTCATTACAATTGGTGCGTCAAATACGTGAAATCGGCCCAGAATATATATGCGAGCTATATCCACACCTTAACCGATTTCCAATTAATTTGTCAAATTTAGTTTTTCGTATCTCTGTCCGAACTTCATTGAAATTAGGAATACATAGCGTGTTTGGTGCATCAAATACATGAAATCCGCCGAAAATGTATATGGGAGCTATATCCAAATCTGAACCGATTTCAATTTATTTATTTTTCTTTCAAATTCCGTTACACATTTGGAGACAGTATCTGTAATCGATCAATAGATATGTGCATATAAAGTCTAATTTTGTGGGAGGTACCTTCGATTCTGATGCTATATCTCCATTTCCAAGTGGAATTTCAAACATTTATATAGCCTATGTTATTTGCAGGCGATGTTGTAGTATACTTGAAAATTTTCAGGAAAACCTTTTCAACCGTTTTCGACTCCATAAATTACAAACAAATAAACATACACACAAATATATAGATTGGTAAAAATATTGTGAAGTTAGAGGAATTTCGGAATTTCCAAAAACACCTCCATCAGTGACTTTCATTCCAAATATCAGAGTTTTAGTGCATTCCGTTTGTCCAGTACATAGTAATTAATTTTTAGTACTTTTCTTTCCAAAAACCCAGCCTCTTTACACGACTACGCACCAAGACTGACTCTCATGTCAAATTTCAAGATTACAACTTCAGACGTTTCGCCTGGGCGTTGATTCTAGATCAGACAGTTATTTTATTACTCTTTTATGTATATAGATATAGCCCTCATATTTTGGTATTCGGTTGTTTAAAATTCGGTATATAGAGTTTGAAATGAGCTCTGTCCTCTATGGTATAGGCCTACTGGAACAAAGCCGATACGGTATTTTGAAGCCTTTTTATCAACAGATTTTACGGATAATTAGTAAAAAAACACCATTTGGTGAGACTTTTGAAATTTTCAAAAAAATAAAATCCGTTAAAAATTCTGTTAAAATCTTAAAAATTCCGAATATAGCCGTTATATTGGGGTCTATACGAAGACGTGGACCAGCATGGGCAACTTTTGTCATAAGCCATTACAATATTCAAAAACGAAACTTGAAAAAATCCGATGAAAATATAGCTAAAGTCATCAAAATACCGAATATGGGGAGGTACCGTTATATCGGGGCTGTACCTGTACAGACAATTTTCTGTCACAAGACAGAACTTCAAATACGAAATTTCGGTGAATATACCATATATAGGGAGGCACTGATATATGGGACCTATACGAAGACCTGGATACGATCTCCCATCCCATTACAAACTCTGAATACGAAATTTGAAACAACTCCGACGATTAATGTCGCTAAAGTCACCAAAATACTGAAAATTGGGGGTACTGTTATATGGAGGCTATACGAAGACGTGGCCTGGCATACGAAGTTTTTTGTCATAGGATGTAGTAGCAGAACCAAACAACTCCGGTGAATAATGTCCTTAAAATGGTGAAAATATCGAATATCGGGAGTATCATTTTATTTGGGCTATATGATATCGTGGACCTCTGTACACATTTCTCTTCCAGGGAGTAAAGTGCTTGGAAAGAACTTTTAGTATGGATTTTTAGACAAGTCCATTGGAAGCTGGGGAATATACGATATCGTGGACCTATATAGACAAGACTCTTCCAGGGGGTAAAGTACTCACGGGGAAAAATTTGGCTACATTCATCAAAATACCGTTATATGGATGCTATACGATATCGTGGATCGATAAAGCCCATCTTCGAACTTGACCTGCCTGCAGACAATTGACTGATCTGTCCAAAATTTAGTTTCCTATCTTTATTCGTTTAAAACGCTAGCGTGATAACAACAGACAGGCGAATAGGGCTAAATTGTTTTAGAAGTTTACGCTGATCAACTTTGGTATGTCTTTAATTAATAAATTAATAACCTCGATGAGTTATAAACAAAATGACGAACTTAACATACCCTCCATACTATGTATGCTGGAGGGTATATAAATGGAAGTGGACCCAATATTCAATCCAAACCCTTTTTTTGCTAGATGGTATGAAAAGCTCTCTCCGGTCGGACTTAATGCGTTAATTTTGTTAAAAATTTTCACATATGTGTTTTTTGCCAGTAGACAGGTTAAGTTCGTAAATGAGCCATGTCGGCCCTAGTTTTCGTATAGCCCCCATATAACGATACCTCCCCATATTTGGTATTTTGTTGATTTTAACGACATTATTCAACGGAATTGTTTCACATGTCGTATTTGCAGTTTGGAATAGGTACTACTGCCAATTGAGGTTCGTAATGGATACTACAGTCTGAGACAGAAAATTGTCTATGCAGGTCAGTGACTTTGTATAGTCCACATATAACTGTACCTCCTTTTTTCTGTATTTTGATGATATTAGCGACATTATTAACTGGAATTGTTTCAAATTTCGTCTTTGCTGTTTGGAATAGGTTCTACTGCCAATATTAAAAATATGCTGGCCCACGTGTTCGTATAGCCCCCATATAACTGTATTTTCGACGGATTTTTTTTTTAATTTTCAAGTTCCTTCCAAATGGTGGATAGTATTAAATGTTCGGCCCGGCTTTGGACAAATCCCTTTTTAAGGATATTTGGAGTCTATATATCTGCATCGTCCCAGTCCATCATGTACCTCCCACAGAAAGGGTCAACATTGGGATAATTATAACTCTTATAAAATATGAAGTAAGTATCCGATTCTCTTTAAATTTCACATATCTCCATTTTTTTGTTAACAGAAGATCTGTTGTGAAAATGACATATATAGGTCTACTCATTCTGGTCCTCCCCACCAAAGGGTCAACATTTGAAAAAATATGAAACTCATAAAAATGAGAAACGAGCATCTGACTTTTTTCAAACTTAGCACATCGCAATATTTCTATCAACACATAATCATGTGTGACCACTCCTTCTAGTACCTCGCCCCAAAGGGTGACAATTTTGAATATTTATATATCTAATGAAATGCGAAATAATCATACATTTATCATACATCCCAATATTTCTACTAACATAAGATCTGGTGTGAAGATGGAACACTACTCCTTCTGGTACCTGTCCCACAAAGGGTCAATATTTTGAATAACATACAACTCATATTGAATTAACCATATGATTCGAATATCAATTCGAAATAACCATACGATATATTTCTACTAACACAAAATATGTTGTGAAGATGAGATATATCGGCTCCCTCCTTCTGGTACCTCCCCCAAAATGGGTCAAGATTTTGAATAACCAAAACGCTCATAAATGCAACATATGCAGTCGATTCCCTTCAAATTTCACACATTCCAAAATTTATATTAACACAAGTTAATAACTTTTTGTCGAATAAACATTACATACATTTAATAATTCTCAAATTTGCAACAGATTTTGAAATCAATATATTTATCTGTGTAAATTTTCACCTCCTATTTGCACGAAGTTTCATAAAGTTCTCTGTCAAACGTATGAAGACAAAATAGATGACCTCAATACCGCTTATCAAAGAGCAGCCCATACAAATGCCAATGACTCCGCCAATGTTTGCTAGAATTATAAAAAAAAATCAAATAATTTCATAAACTCCCCGCAAAAATGACCAAAACTTACACAACATCTGATACCAATTATACAAGACATTCTTTTGATAACGGGTCCCATAGGGTGTGGGATAATATATTTTTACCAAACTGACATCGTTCAAAGACCTTATGTTTGAGTGGCTGAAAGGCATTGGTAAATGATTAATGGATTTGGCACAATTGCTTATCGGACTCACATGTAATTCATGCTATCCGGAGTATCCTTCAAGCTGCTCTTGGCCTTGTAAAAATTATAACGATAATAGGTACAGGCTGGCAAACACTCAGGGCAACTTAGAGAGTCGATTAGTTCTGCTTCAAGATGTTCGTTCATCATCTCCACCGGGGGCTTATAAGTCTGCCAAGTAACTATAGAAGAGAAAATTAGAAATTCTTTACATCAATCGAACACCTTACTTCGATATCTTTCCAAACATTCGGTATGTTCCAATGAACATTGAACCGGCGTCCGGTCAGTGACATTTTTCTTCTCATCATACACATAGAATGGTATGCAATTGCATAACGATTCCATGCTGCGGACTTTACACTTCATCAAACAATCAGCTTGGCCATAGGCCCCCACCTTCTCTTCATTGGGGAAATAACAACCCCTCTTTGCCACAGGATGATTCCTAACCTCATTAGTGGTAATTTGTGAAACTAACTTAAGCCTTACATGAATATCATCATTGGCATTGATCTGTATAAGACCCATATGGCCAATGGAGGTGTCGGCGATTTTTTGTTTTCCAAATATAAGCAATGTAAAGCCGGTCAAACTTTCTTCGGCATAAAAATAGTCATTTGTGGAGGCATTCAAAAGTAGAATTAAACCGGTATCACTACCACTTTGATTCGCATAATAATAAGTTTCTTCGGTTCTGGAATGAAAACAAAAAAATATTTCACCTTCAGGACTTCCAAACTTCCATTTACTCTTTTACCTCTCAAATTGATAGTTGAATACACAACAATATCCCCTCGAGAAAGCCACTAACTGTAATTCCTTCTCACAATCAATGGCCTGACCCGACCAATAGCATTCCAATAGCAAATCTTTACATTTGGGCGCCAAATCCTTCAAGACCCTGGCCACATTAAACGGTTTACGGCTCATTCGATCTAAGACGTTTTGCAAACTTTGTGCTTCATCAAAGTCAATCGAATCCGTATTGAAGAATCCTGCAAAGAGCTTTAGTTTCTCGTACCAATAATTATATAATGGCATATCGAATGATCCACGGGACCTGTAACATATTGGGGTATAACTTAAACTTAGATTAACGGAATTTGAAAACTTTCGAAATTTACTCACATATTATGCGCAAATTGCCTCATAGCGCTGCGACTCAGTTTGTTGTGACTGCAAACCGCAATTGAGGGGAATGGCACATCCCATACACTATGTTCTTGTGGATCCAGAGTGGTCACTGTAGGATCAGCCAGAAATGAACTCATTGTCGACATACAGACAAAGATGGCAAACGAGATGCCCATCAGAATGAACATGAACCAAAAGAGTCTGAAAGTAAAATAAACCGGTAAGATATTCCTCATTTTCTAACCTCCATCATTTAATGGGAAGGCGAAATATTAAGTCCGTCTCTCCATGTATTTTTGTGATCAAAATGCAGGTCCAATTTATTATCCGATTAGATGTAATTTTTCAAATAATAGTTGTCATTTCTAAGCCACTCGTCCGACAGCTTTTAAATTATTCCAATGACAGCTCATTATATTGTTTACAAGCATACAAAAGCATTTTGGTGAGAATTTTCCAGAAAAAAAGTTATTCGTGAAGGAAATCAAGCGTGATAGTGTGATTGGCTGGAAAACCACAAGTGGCTATCGTTAGAGAACTCCAGCATTTAAATGTGAATAAATCTTTTGAGTCTCGTACCATCGCTCATTACCGTGATACTGGTAGCGTAGCCCGACGTCAAGGAAGTGGAAGGAAGAAAACAGCAACATCAGCAGAAATAGTTCGAAAAGTAAAGAAGCGACCCGCGTCGCAGTGGCCGAAAAATGGCTGTAAGCTGAACATATCTAAATATTCCATTCGGCAAATATTGAAAAATGAGCTCGAGGTAAAGCCATTGAAATTCCAAAAAGTGCAAGAACTTACACTGCAACAGAAAGAAAATAGACCCAAAATAGCTAAAGAGTTGCTTCGCTTGGCCGAAATTGGTGAACTGCCGAATTTCGATTTCTCCAATGGGAAAACATTCGTTGTCCAGCAGTTTGTGAACAAACAAAATGATCGTGTTTACTTGCTGAAGAGGTCAGCTGAAAATGTCAACCTTCGGTTGGCCACCAGAACTCAAGTGCCGGCCATGGTGATTCTGTGGGCCGCCATAACAGCCGATTGTCGCTCTCCACTCGTATTAATCGACCGAGGCATCAGAATAAATGCCGAATATTATCGCGAAAATATTCTGGAGGGTGTATAAAGGCAAAGGGGCACGCAAACATTCTGGCCGCAGAAATTGGACATTCCAACAGGACTCAGCACAATCGCATTCAGCACGACCCAGCCAAGAATGGTTACAGAATGAGGTTCCTCGCCTCATTTCCAGCGCACAATTGTCACCAAAATCTCCGGATACCAATCCGTTAGAATATTGTGTCTGGAGTATTTTGGAAAGCAAGGTTATCACTAAATAATACCAAAATGTCGATCACCTCAAGCAAGCGCAGATCAACATTCGGGCAGCGTGTGACGGTTTCATTGGCCGTTTGAAGGCCATAATTCGTGCCAAAGGTGACCAATTCGAACAAATCTAAACCTATTCCAAAATTTGATGTTATATCCGAATATTTTTGCTTTCATTCAATAAAATTCCAAAAAAAAAAAATGTAAAAATGATGGCCTTTGACTTTGTTGCAGTTTTTTTATCTCACCTTTATACACCGAAATTATTTGAAATTTCGTATTTGAAGTTCCTAATATGCACCACAGCCTTTGACAGTAAATTTTCTATGCAGGTTCAGGTCTTCGTATAGCCCAGATATGTTCGGTATTTTGATGATTTTAGCTACATTATTCACCGGACTTTTTTCAAGTTTTATATTTGAATATTGAAATGGCTGATGACAAAAGTTACCTATGCAGATCCACGTCTTCGTATAGACCCCAATATAACGGCTGTATTCGTTAATTTTAAGATTTTAACAGAATTTTTAACGGATTTTATATTTTTGAAAATTTCGTTCGAAATCGTGGAGGGTAATCTAAGTTCGGCCGGACTTTTTTACTTTGATTAGTACTCAAAATGTACAATTGGTTCAGTTTAAAATTTTTTTCATCCAAATTTACATCCAACTAAATCTCTTGATCCAAGACATAAACAGTGATGCAAAATTAGTACAATTTAGTACTTTTCGAACAATTATGGTAAACGTTTCCAAAATCACATCCATATCTCAATACCAGATACCAACAATATTAACTTAATATTAAATTTGAGGATTCCTGCCCTATTTCTTCACGAAATACCAAATTTAGTACCATTTAGTACTTTTTGTACAAACATGGGTCGCCTTTTAAAAAACCCCGGCAGATCTCAAAAACAGATACCATCAGTAATCTGAATATCAAATTTCAGAATTTTAACTCTATCCCTTCACCCAATACCAACAAAGCGTACTATTTAGTACTTTTCGTACAATTATAGTACACATTTCCGAGACCACAGCCATATCTTAACTAAAGACTCCAACAGTGACATCTGTATCAAATTTGAGAATTCCAGCTCTATTCCTTCACCCAATACCAAACTTAGTACTATTTAGTACTTTTGGCACAATTCCAGTACTCGTTTCAAAAACCATATCCATATCTCTTTTCCAGATACCAGCAGGGAGCTAAATATCAAATTTGAGAATTCCAGTCCTCTCTCTTCATCCAATTACAAATTTAGTACCATTTAGTACTTTTTGTACAATTATAGTATACATTTCTGTTTCCACAACCCCCATGTCCAGGCTACACATGAACAGCGCGACCCTAGTACCACATTTTAGATTTCAAGCACTACTTTCACTCAATACCCAATTGTACCAAATATTGTACTATTTAGTACCTTCCTTGCACTTGTAATGTACATTTCCAAAACAAAAGCTCCTTATTATTAACCTACCACCAACAGAAAGCCCAATACAAAATTTCAAAATTCAAGCTTCATCCGTTCGCCCTAAACCAAACTATTCCAAATTTAGTACCATTTAGTACAGATGGCACACATAGTACACATATCCAAAACACCTTCATATATCAAATTTAGGTCCCAAACTAGAATCTAATACCAAATTTCAAGTTTCTAGCTTTAATTTTCAAAAACCTTTGTTGCATCTCTTATAAGTACCATTTAGTACTTTTCAAACAATTATGGTACACACTTCCACAATTACATCTATGTATATCTCAGTATCAGATTCCAACAGAGACCTCAAATTAAATTTAAGGAATACAGCCCTATTTCTTCACACAATACCAAATTTAGTACTATTTAGTACTTTTCGTACAATTATAGTAGTTCCCTTCGCACATTTAGTACACACATCCAAAATCACCTTCATATATCTAATTTATTTTCCAACCTAGATTCTCATATTAAAGTTCATGTTTTTAGCTCTAATACGGTACAAAGTGTACCTTACTTAGTTCCTTTTTGTACTTTTCGGTCCATTATAGTACGAATTTTCAAAAACCCAGCCTTATTTGACATCTTCAGAACAAGAATGACTCTAATCCAATATTTCAAGATTTTAACTTCAGCCGTTTCGTCTGGGCGTTGATAAGTCATTAAGTCAGTTAAACTCTTTACTCTTCTACGAATATTGATTGCAATCGAAGTGAAGGTTTGCTCACTCTCACTTTCTTGATAAATTTTTAGAAAACTTATTTAAAATCACTCGCCTTATCACTAATTGTCCATCCTTGTCTACATATGGTTATTTTTAAATTTAAAGTTTGAGAAAATGTCTACCATTCACCAATGTTCGATTTGGACATCTTCTCCCCTCCAAAAACCAAATGTTATGTTTAATTGTCGTTGTTTGAACTCTAATCCCATAATTATTTTATTTCACATCAAATTTAATTGAACTTAACACCAAAAACAACAAATCTCTGATTGATGACAATTTATTATTGCACAACATATTTCATAAATTCTTTTATGTCAACCAGCCAACCAATCAACCGGGTCTATGAAGAAGAGCTGTTGTTACCTACCTACCTTTGATACTTTCGCCGTCGTATATAATACAAAAGGCCAAAACCATTGAGACTTGTTTTTTGGAAATACTCCACCAATGTCTCTTTGGCCGCCTCGTACAGCAGCAAAACGTTTGCTAGAGATGAAGATGCCGGTGCTGGCATTTTGTGGAGTTTATTAAACTTTTGTCACTTTTCGATGACGATTCGATACACAATAACTTAAATGTTGTGGTGTTTTTGTTGTACTTCTTCTTGTTGTTGTTGTTGTAAAGAAAGTGCATTAGAGAGCCGTAGACGAAGCATCCGAAATGTCACCAAATGCGATGACACTGTTTTGTGTCTGCATTACAACTGAGACTTATTGCTAGGCCATGCAGGAATACAGGTGCTGTCCGCAAACACCAACCTTGTCGTCAATGGGGTATTAATTAATTTTTGGGGGATGGTATTTGTTTGTTTGTAAAGATTTTAATCAGAGGAACTTTAATTGAAAAATAATTTAAGGGGGGCGAGTTGGAACACGAATTTTTGTTGTTCACACAAAAACATGTTAAGATTTGATATAAAGAAATTAGAATAGATATGGTTGCATGTTGGGAAAAACATATTGGAAAAAAATATATATGGTTTTCCAAAGGAAAATAATTTCTTCGCATTGGAAAATATGCGAGAATGTAACGGGTCTTAAATTTAAGACCTCTAATATGAGTAAAGTTTAATTGGTTGGAAAATACAAATAAATAAAAACCGATATTTTGCCAGCATTACAAATCACAGCTGAATTGACTCTTTAGCAATACTAGAGTCAACTTCGATAATTAATTATATTTCTTGATATACAATAGATATACACATTTTTCACTGGAGCAATTTCACTGGAGCTTTTCTCACAATGTTGCCATATTAATAATGAAAACTTTGCACAAATATATAATACCATGTACCACAGTGTGGTGTAGAGTATAGAAACCCTTCTTTTATTTTTAAGAACTTTTTGAAACATTTTAGTTGCAATTTCTGAATTCTATTTGTAATTTGTAATTCGAAAATTTAAATTGTAATTCGAATTATTCAGTTAAAATTCGAGAATTCCAAATTACAAATTAAATATTACTTTTATTACCTTCCACCATTTTGAAGGAACTTGAAAATGTTTTTCTTATTATTCGAACTTTTTATACTTTAAATTGAAATGAAATTAATTGAATTTCGAAATATTGGAATATTAACATAAATACAACAACAAAGACCTCAAGCTCAGAGGAACTTGAAAATTTTCAAAAAATCCGCAAAAAAATACCCTTATAAGGATGTAATGTCGTAGGCTGTAGTACCCATCACGAACTTCAATTACGAATTTTTAAACAATTCTCGTAAATAATACCGCTTAAATCATCAAAATACCGAATATAGGAGGTATAGTTATATGGGGGCCATACGAAGACGTG